TCATATCTCTCTGCTGCTAAGATCAAGCATCAAGCTGATGTTTGATTACAACACTGACGGGGTGAATGGGCAGTGAAGCCTACCTGTTACTCATGCAAATGACTCGTCTCTTAACTAGCAGCACACTCCAGCACTTGTGGATATGCAAGCTAAAAATTCAGCACCTCAGCACAAACCCACCTCTAGAATAACATAATAGATGTAGGAAGCAGAGACAGAAATGTCAGTAGACTGAGGCACAGAAAAGAGCCATTATTATTGCACAAATATGAGATTCCTGAATATGTTAACGAACACTTGGTTTTGAAGGTATATGCTTAGTAACAAACAAATAAACAAACCCAAACACAGTAGGATTACATCTCACTAGCTTTGAAAGCTCAAACACAGCTGGTCTGATCATTTTCAAGCTGCCACATGCACATCACAGCTCTCACCAAAGCAGTTGCTCAGCTGTGGATGCACAAACACCCCCAGAGGACAGACTGTCCAGGCCTATGGGGCAGCTCTCGTGACTGAGATCCAGGGGGTGCATTACTGCTCCTCTCTGTCTAATTAAGTCACAAACCAACATATTTGACTGTTTAAATGGTTGAAATCTGCTGTTGTTGCCAATGGTTCTGAGGCAAACCAGCACTAGCCCTGCACGGCCTCTCATTTACTCTTTGCATGAGTCACAAAAGGCAGAAGACAGCACACGTGGAAATCTCTAACACCACATTTCTGTGGTCATTACAATCAAATCCTCTGCCAGGCGCAGCTCAGCTAGGCATGAGGTTTAGGTCAAAAGGAGTTCTAGCAGTGTTAACAACAGCACAAGGGGAAGCTGTGGTCTGGTGCAGCATCTTGCACATCCATGTCAGTGCTACACCCAAAGGCCACATCAGACGTGGTTTATACAGCCTGTGGGCTGGGGTGACACACCAGCTGTTGTAATTTGAATAGTAACACCCTCAGTGTCCAAAATAACAATGGACAGCCCGGCCTTGGTGGTGGAGCACAGTTCACCACAGGACCCCTCAGCAACAGGGTCATTACCCTGCAATGTACTGCACAAAATGACAACCTGTATTTTTTGAGTTGTGAATGATGTGTATAACGTAGGAAAAAAGAGTCATACTGGGAAAAGGAATCAATTGCCTCTGCCTGGAGACTTTCACAACTATGAACAAAATAGATTTCACTTTAGGCAAAACAAACTAAAACCTTTTTCTTTGCCATATGGTTTGGGCTTCCCCTCTCCTACATTTTCAGGATCCCGAGTTCCCTTACAGTGATGGTGACAGTAACCCCCAGTGATGGTGACAGTAACCCCATCATGGTAAATATCCTTTGTGAGAGTGCTGGCAAACCTTTCCCCCCCCGCACTTTTGGGGCACTGACACTCAAGACAGCATCGAGGGGTTTGTTTGTGTTAAAATCACACTTTTGCCCCAACCGATTTAGGATGACAGCACAAGCCATCATCAGCCTGGTACTCTGGATGAACGAGCAGCAGCGCCGGGACNCAAGGAGGAGGCGCGGAGCTTCGACCAGCTCAGCCCGGAGGAGAGCCGTGAGCGCCTGGGGTGAGCGCCCGGCCCGGGCGGGAGACGTGGCAGGGGGAGGGCCCGAGGTGGGCCCGGGACGGAGGAGGAGGCCTGGGGCTGTCTGAGTGTCCGAGGGGGCAGCGGGACCCTTCCCACCCTGAGGGGCTTGTGCAGCGGGACCCTGTACCCCAGAGCGGTGCCCTGAGCCCCAGTGTGGGACCCTGTACCCCAGAGCGGTGCCCTGAGCCCCAGTGTGGGACCCGGTACCCCAGAGCGGTGCCCTGAACCGCAGCGTGGCCTATGGGTCGAACTTCTGGGTTTCGACTTCTCTCACACCCCGCTGGTTTTGCAAAGGAGCAGCCAACAATTCATGGCTTTGGTTTTTTTTCTCTCCTGCCTTTTCTTACTGCTCCACAGCAATAAGCCTCGCAGAGGGAGATGCTGTACCGGGTGTTGGACCTGCTGCCGGAGGGCTTTGCTGCTGCAGCCTCTGGGACACCTGCCCACACCATATCAGTGCTAATCGAGTTTAAACCATTCCTTCTGCGTTTACAGGTCCACTTCAAGCATCCTCCTGCAGCTTTCCCACTTGTGACTTCTTTGCTTACAGTCTTTGACTTGCTCTTTATGCAAAGAACAGGGATCGTGCCTTTTCCCTGCTTTACACGTACAGGAAGCCAGATCACTAAGCAGAACCAAATTTTATAGGAGTTAAAGAAAGATCCTTTAATGTAGTTACTGCAAAGATGATTGTTTAAAATACCTGCCTGTTTTCACTAAGATTTCCCCTGCCTTCGCTTCCACAGGGAGTGGCACTTGATAATTTTCTGTCTGGTCCTACCATAAGCAGTAGCACTGTAATCTCACAGAGTAACCTCTTGATCCTACTGAAAGCTGTCACTACTATTTATGTGTTTTAGTGAGTAAACAGATAAAGTGATCACCAGAAATTATCAACTTCATCCTCGTTGTTTCAAGAAGGAGCAAGGAAACCATGTTCTCATCATATGATCATAGATCAATGACCTAGATTCTCATGATCTTTATCACTAAAATGGACATGCCCTCCTAATATTGGTTTGCACTTACTACTACAGATAATTCAGTCAGGGATATGATTTAACAATAAAGCTGTTTTTAAATAATTTGTACAAATGTTAACTTGGCAAGGGAAGAAGTTTTAACTTCCAGTGATCTCACTGATTGCTCTTTGGAGGGGTACATTAAACAGGCACATTAAAGTACAGCCACAGTCAATAACCTTTTAAATGGAGGTGGCTGAAGTGGCCCTCTGTTGTGGGGTGAGCACTGTGCATCACAATATCAGGGATGTGGTTCCTGGGGGGCTCTGGGAAAGTTTCGTGGCTTTAAGCATTTCCCAGCCTTGTAATTTTGGATAGCAGCCCACTGGGAAGTAAAGAGAGCATTTAAAAAAAACATCTTGTGGCTTAATAGTCAGATATACTGATATATCCTTCCCCCCATTTTTGTTGTGGGCAACTTCTGTAGTGGGTTACAGAGTCACTTCTCAGCAAGTGATTGGCATTTAGGAAGAAGGCAGATTTAATTAAAAGCTATTTTAAAATGATTTCTGGGAGAAAACAGAAACACACAGTCTGCTGCTCTAACCAGAGTGCATGCTGCTGTATTTATAAGCATATTATGTATTTTACCTTGCCTAGGAAATGTGGCAGCACATTGGTCGTTCCAATAATAACAGTAAAATTGAGGTCCACAGTCCATACAACAGCTTTTTATCTGTTTGGGAGCCTGTAGGCAAGACTGTTTCACTGTCCCCATCCTCAGCTGAGAAGTGGGGTGGGATAGTGCACATGGATGCCATGCTCCTATAAAAACAGATGAAAAGGAGGAGGCATGAAACATTTTCTGGTACACAGTCCCAACTTCTTTCATGTTCTACATTGCCAAGAGCTACTATCATGATCATTTAATACCTTAACAGTAGAAAGAAATACCAGTTAAATAAATGAAATGAAATTCATTGTGGGGAAAATCTGGTGACAAGTAGAGTCCATCATGCAGGGAAGGAGACCACTGGCAACAGATTGATACGAAAGAGAAAAGGTTTTCTAGTCAGTTAATTCATGCTTTACTAATTCAGAAAGGAAATTCAGCAGCACCTTTTTTGCCTCATAACTCAGAAACAGCGTGTTTATCAATTCAGTCTGATACTATCAGACTCACACAAGATTGCTGAAAGTTCTGCAGAAGCTGCTGCTGTTACTTCACCAACCACTTTTGTAACAAAGGCTTGGGAAGAGACATTGTTTCCCTACTTGAGCAGTTCCAGTTGGCCAAGTATGGTTTCTTCGTGGAGAACCAAGATGTGGAATTGAAAAGAATGTTTAAAAGTGCAGATCTTTTTCCCCTGTGTCCTGTGGCTGCCTGCCTGGAGGTTTAGGGAGCTCACCTGTTGAATGTCAAGTGAGGATTTAGACAAGCCAGCTCCTGCTCTTACCCCTGCATTCTGAGTTTTTTCCATAGGCAGGAGCTGGCCACTGCAGGAGGCACAGAGCACCTGCAGACAGTGCTCCCCTGCACCTCATGGGGCAGGGTGAAGGGTGCTGATGTGCCCAAAGGCAATCTGGATGTGCCAGAGAACCAAGGTGGATGTGCTCAATTCCAAGAGCAGGGACAGAAGCCAATTTTACAAGCTCAGACCCAAAATGGTGGAGTTTATCAATTGCAGAGAGATTAATTGCAGAGAGATTAGTTGCAGAGAACATAAATGGTATAGAGAGAATTGTCCTTTTTTTTTTTTTAACTGCAGCTGTGTGCAGAATGTTTCACTCCTGCTGATCAACAGTGCTTGAGGCTGGCAGCTTTACAGTGGACAGAGGTTTATAACCCAGCTGCCAGCAGTGGCTGCTGCAGACTTGATATTGCTTTAGTGAGAAACAGGCATTCCTGGCAGCACCAACACTGGTTTCCCTTGGGAATGAAAGAAAAGAAACAACTGGAGGGATGAGCTTAGAAGGGGAGACTACCTGGTGTACATCCCCAGCGTTAGACAGTCATATAACTCACTTCACCCTGGTGTCAAATCTGCTGGAAACCCAAAGGAGAAACTGCAGGTGTCCACCAAGTCCTGGATTTTTGCCCTGGTTGCCTCCAGCAAGTTTGAGTACAGGCTTTGTCCTGAAGTGAAATTGGTGTTTCCTGCTCTGAGCCAGCACTGTAGGCAGTGAAGAGCAGGTCCCCCTAAGATAGGAGGCACAGCCTAAGAAAGCCAGGTGATCTCTGCTCACTAATTGTGGTTGTGCAAGTTCCCTTTGAATTATTCATAGCAATGCTGAATAATGAACAGAGACATATTCCTTAAGATGATGTGTGAAATACAGGAAAGCCTTAACCAGTAGGACAGCTTTAGGAGTTTGGGGCACTCCGTTTTTGTGGAAAATCAGGGCCAGATAAAGATTACTAAAATTGGCCTGACATGCAGTTTGGTTTTCTGCCAGCTTAAAGATGCTGATCTCTTTTCACAGGAAGATTGTGGATAGAATAGATGACAACAAAGATGGCTACATCACAACAGAGGAATTAAAAAACTGGATTAAACGGGTACAGAAACGCTACATCTATGAGAATGTGGCTAAAGTCTGGAAAGACTATGATCTAAACAAGGATGATAAAATTGCCTGGGAAGAATACAAACAAGCCACATATGGTTATTATCTAGGTAAGAGAAATCTTCCAATTGTATGATCAAGGATTTTTGAGATTATAAAATATGATTTCTTGCCTTGCAGTCAACAGGAGTTTGATGTCACATTTAGGACTCTTGAAGCTCACATTAAATTTTATAGATGCTCAGAGGTCAAAAGCACTTTTTTAGTTATTTATTGCAGCCCTTTGCACATGGGTCACCAGCACACAGAAGGTTTTGTAGAGGTATCATTAAATATACTGACACAGCTGAATTATTAAAGTCTCCTCCAGTTAGAAATATATTATTTTTTAACATAAAAAAGGGTACTTTAATTAAAAATAATATATTGTCTAATTAACTCTATTTGTGAATTTAGTCTCTAAAATCTTAAGTCTAGATGTTAAAAATTTAGTCTGTCTAAGCTATAGCAAAGTTATTGATTAAAATCATTCTTGCAGAATAACATGCTTCAGACTGTGATCAACTGCAAATGAAAATCCTTAACAAATCAGGCAAAAGAAACATTTATTAAAAAATATACCTGAATTCCCCTGCCCCCCTCCACGTTCCCTTTGCTTTTATAAGTTAATGAAGGAAGAGATCACTTAAGCTAAAGGGCAATACTGACAGAGCAACAAATCAGTATTAATTGACCATTTATACTTACTGGAAATGAGAAGACAATATTTACCTACCACAGAGGCAGTTTCTAGAGCAAGCTTCCTGTAGCAGTAATAATTCTAAAGTCTACCTTAGATTAAAATGGAGTTTGTTGCATTTGTGAAAGGCAATATTTGGCACACAGTCCCTGCAAGAATTATCCCTGGAACCCTTCTCAGCCCTTTGTCTTTGCTCCCTCTTAATCCCAAGATTTGGAGAGCAGCATCGTGGGCTTGCATTAATGAATACTTAAAATTTTCATCTGTAATTCCTGGTCTAGTCTTTTTCACCTGTGTTTGTCTCCCAGCATACAAATTGTGAAATTGTTATGAGTATTTTTCATTTTTAAAGTCAGTTTAATGATCCTATTAAAAAAATTGTATCAAATACCATTCCTGTTATGCCACTGAACGCCCTGAAAAAATGTCATTGTTTTAAACTGAAAATAATTGTTAGGTTTCCTGTAGCAGAGGCGTAGCACTGAGATAATTTCAGTCAGTCTGCCCCCTTCTGAAACCACGTTTCCTTGATTTGCTCTTCTTGAAACTTAAAAGTTGTGTTCATATTAATTCCTAAAGAAGAAGGAAACTTCTGTGAATGAAGTCTACCCCAAATACTGCCTAAGTGATGCTTGTAAAGGCAGATAAAAAAAAAATCTGTGAGGGATAATATAAAATTCTGCAAAATCCATTGCTCTGGATTGCAACAGAAGGCTTGCTCAGAAATCTATCTCTACTACTGTCACCTTTAAAAATCAAACCGGGTACTTGAGCCCTGAATTTAGAACTTCCTGGGGAAGAGAAATTCCATTTAGAACAACAGGTATTCTGGCAATAAACCTTTTTAGCTTTGTTTTGCTGGTGTGTTTTAAAGGAAAACACTTCTGAAATCATCTTGATTCATTTGCAGAAAATCCAGAAGAATTCCAAGATGCAACTGATCAGCACAGTTTTAAGAAAATGCTGCCCAGAGATGAAAGACGATTCAAAACTGCAGATCTGGATGGAGACTTGGCTGCCACTCGTGAAGAATTCACTGCTTTCCTTCACCCAGAGGAGTTTGAGCACATGAAAAACATTGTTGTCTTAGTAAGCAAAGCAAAATCAATGCCAGTGTTCCTACTTTTATGGATGAACTTTGAAGGCTTCTCTAACCTTTCCAGGCAGGGTTTAGAAAGAGACACACACATAATAGCTAAATGGGGAACAGAAAGGGGTGCCTTTTGTGATATTCACTTGATTTAGAAGTCTCAATATAAGAAAGACTTTTTAAGTGCACTTAGACAGCTCCTAAATGGAATCAAGAAACAATCTTGGGGCACAGACTTAAACTAAAATAAAAGGAGAGTGTGTTTACATGCACACACACATGCAGCTGAGTGTTTCATGCAAGCTGGTGTCTGCCCCTAGCATAAGCAGTTCATTCATACAGGGAATTTTTCCAACATGAAAGGATATTTTGTATATTCATTGTGTAAACAACAGTCACACTGGGTTTAGTGAGACTACATTCACTTGTGTATAGGGGCAGGTCAAGACCTCAGAACATCAAATGATCAAAGGCAGGTAGTCAAAGCTCTCAGTTTTTTCTAGATTACTTTCATGAAAAATTGTTTTCCAGGAAACCTTAGAAGACATAGACAAAAATGAGGATGGTTTTGTGGATCAAGATGAGTACATTGGTAAGTGTTGTTACTTGTTTCTGATATAATCTCCAGTCCATTTTCCCATCTTCTCTCAAATTTGCAGCAGCATTAACAGCCCAGAGTGAACAGTTCTGTGTTCCAGTTCAGCTATTTCACACCAACCATCCCACCCAGAAAATTTAATTTCATTTTAGGTAGATACCAACATGACCAGGAAAAGTTCCTCATGCTTCACAGCACAAAATTCTCCTTTTATTGTCATTTAACTCAGCAAAGAGTTACATCGGAACAAAAGAAGAGAATCTGGTTTAATATTTTTCATTTCAGGGATAGTCTTTGTATATTACAACATGTTAATTGCTGCTTGAAGGCATTGTTTAGGAATGAAGGAGGATCAGAAAATGAATTAGTCTTTTCTCAAGTTTGGATGGTTCTTAAATATCCAAAACACCTGGGAAGCAACCACTGCAAAAAGAGAAAATTCACCTTGTTCCTACTAGTTTTTTCCCTAGTTTAATTAGTAAGTAAAGCTCATACTTCTGTAATGATGATACTATTGCATTTTGATGAGTTTTAAATCCAGAAAGTAGGACTAAGAAGGCATTAGTGCAAAGTTGGATGAACCTTTCTGTTTCCAGTGGTGCTATAAAGATCACTTCACATAGAATCAGGAACAATATACACACGCTAATTAATGGCAGGGGGTTCTGTTCCTTGTAAATTATATTTAGCCCAGAAAGTGAATGCTATTCATCTATGACTGAAATAACAGAGCAGCATAATTTCCACAGTAATTTCAGTTCATTCAGTGACATTACCTACATATAATTATAAGGTAATTGTCAACATTTGTTACCATGTGAATGCTGGTTTTTCTTGTCTTCTATAGATAGGAACATAGAATGTTCTAGTCACGATCACCCCACATTGGCAAGGATGATAAAAATCAAATTGACAGAACATGTCAGTTGCTTCAAATAAACAATATAATTTGCACTTTAAAAAATGAAAAAAGAAAGTGAATGTGTTGTCTGAAGTTTTCTTCATGAGTTGAGATCAGTCTCTAGATATGGAGTACTGGGGAGATTTGCTGAACCTTAGAGAATGATCCCACCCTCCTTTTCCTTCTTTCTTCCCATTTTGTCTTTCAAAAAATTTGGTTTAGATTTACACAAGCAACAGAGCAAAATACCTATAAAACTGATGAGCAGAGGGAACTAAATTCTCACTGTGCATGGGCAGGTAACAGAGTATTTCAGGGCACAGTGACAATGGAGAACCTCAGCCTAGTGTGTACACTCACACTGCAGGGTCAGGAGGGTTATTCCTGCCTTTGAATTCAGCATTTCTGTTTCCCACAGATACCAGCCTGCCTCTGACCCTCACACCATCCATGTGGGTACACTTTTCCTTAGCACATCCTTGAAAACCAAATACAAAAGACACTGGAGAGGAGAGAAATGGTATCACAAAGCGGGCTTTAATTCTAAATAGAATAGTGGAAGGCTTGAGGAATAAGCAGTCCTGATGAGCAGGAGAGGATTTGCCACAGTGACCAGAAGAATGTTATGGACACACCACTCCTGATTTGGAAAGCCCTGTGATGTAAAGAACATTTGGAAGTCAGTTGGTTTTAATAACCACTGCTACTCTCCCGTGTTTATGCAGAAAGCAGCTGCCACTGTGGCGTGGCCCTACCAAAGCCTCCAAAAATGTAGCACAGGAGTGATGTGCAGAGCAGCTCGTGTGTGATCTCTGCATCCTGTGTCACAAACAGTGCTCCCTGCCCAGGTACCAATCTGTGACAAGTGCACTGTGCCTGTGCTTCCTCACAGAATGCACCATGATTCATGACTTCTCCAGCTTTCTGGAAGAATGTCTTCTCCTGGAATGTGCTGTAGCACTGCATGGTTAAAAGAGAACTGATCTAATAAGCTGAATGTCTCTTACACAGACTTCTCTAAAAACACTACAAATGCATGCAAGTTCCATTTAGCAATTTTTGTTTGCCTAAATTCCCCCTGTGCCTTTTTTCCTGTAATCACTCTGCTGGCTGGAGCCTGATCTTATCCACAAAGACATTTGCTGGCAGGGACAAGATAAAATGGCTGAGTTCTTTTCTCCCCATGTGACCGAGCCTAGCACTAAAGCTTGTGCCTGCTATTCAACCAGAGATCCTTAGAGGATTTTGTTCATTCTGAAATTCAGATGATGGTATTTGAGCACGTTCACCTCCCCTGTTAGCCCCACCAGCAGTGCACAGGTATGATACAGGGTAGTGTGAGAATGGGCAGAATCACCAGCAGTGAAGAAATAAGGCCTGAGAGAAGATACAGCTACTCTGTTTACATCCCACATTCTTTTTCTGTACAGAGACACTGTGCAAAGAGTGAAAAGTTCAGTCTTCGTGAAACACTGTGAAAATATCTTTAGTTTTAAAACATCTTTTCATTTGCAAAGTAAACAGGGCTCAAGTAAGACTTTTATTTCCTCTCCAGCGGATATGTTTGCAAATGAAGAGGGCGGACCAGAGCCTGACTGGGTGATTACAGAGCGTGAGCAGTTTTCAGATTTTCGTGATCTCAACAAGGATGGAAAGATGGACAAAGATGAGATCCAGCACTGGATCCTCCCCCAGGACTATGATCATGCACTAGCTGAAGCCAGGCACTTAGTCTATGAATCTGATGTAGACAAGGTATGTAGTGTTCCAGTATTGTTTTTAAGGAAGTTATATAAGGTGGTGTGGGTCTTTTAAAATACCAGCTTGCAAGAATTTATTCCTAATAACTTTAGAGGGTAAAATTGGTAGTGGATTAATGATTCCATGCCAGTTTCAGGTGGTAGTGTTAGAATTACAAAGTAGTTAAATACAGTTTATCAGCTCTTGAAGCTTCCCTGGCTTTCATTAGGTGAGAAACTAGCATCTTAAGCCTGAACATTTTAACACAGCAAAAATACTATTTTTCCTTTAACAGTGGTCATGATTATGTTAATATAGACTAAAAGTGGAAAATAAAGGTACATTTAGATACCCCTTCTACTCAAGTGTAGAGGTAGCAAAACCACTCTCAGTGGTTTCAAGCACTGAAACTTTTTACTTAAACACTGGCTCTGATGAGGGACAGTATATTCCTGATGATGGTTTTCAGAAGTGTAATGCAAGCAAAGTGGGAACCTGAAAGCCAAAATACTCTGAACATAGAAAGTGTAAATCACTAACATAAGCAACCATCTTCCATAAAATACACCAGAGGATTTTTATTTTTACTGTCAGGGAGGTGAACCAAACCACAGGGCAAAACAGTGTACCAGGTCATCCACTGTTACCCTGCTGTTCCTACTGCTTGGCAGTGAGTTCATTACAAAGAACTTTCAATTAGCAGTTTGACCCAGCTGAAGGCTGTGGGACTTCTGTCTTCCATTGAGGTCCAAATTTCACTCACTGTGACAGCTACAAACGATTGCTGAACCTGCAGTCTGCTGCTGTGAAGAACTGTCTGTTTCCCAGGGCTCTTGCAAGTCTGTGCTGGTGTGTTTTGACTCAGTTTTGAAAATATTCTTATAGAGGTTCTGTTTTCTTTCTACCAGGATCAAAAACTAACAAAAGAGGAAATTCTGGACAACTGGAATATGTTTGTTGGAAGTCAAGCTACTAATTATGGGGAAGACCTCACGAGAAACCATGATGAACTATGATACAATGTGCCAGCCAGTGTGCCACACATCTTCTGTCCACTTTACTGAAATCACTGTGTCCATCTCCTCTTAGAGGGAAGATGGGCAAGGGACACTCACATCTGAATGACTTGCATTAATACTATTTTTAACATGCCAGCTTATTACCTCAGAAACCACATAGAAATAGCTTTCTTACTCCTTTCACGTGGTTAAATACAGTATATAATTACTACAGGGTTTTTTTGAAAAAATAAGAAGGTAACTTTTCTGAATAGGTTAGAGCCTGACATGGAAAGGGCACTTCTAAAAATATTACAAAGAGCTTTAATAGCCAATTATTTTCTTCAAATACCCACTTTTACCATAGTGGAATGCACCTAGGATTAGAACCCTAATGTTAAACAGACTTAAGTTATTTAGTTGTCTTTTCTAATAGCATTGTAACAGTTCAGAGATAACCCTTTGAGCCTCCTACCCAGAGAAGAGTTTGATACCAGCTTTGTCTCCACACAGTTTCTGTGTCCCACTTGGGTCAGTGGTGCTGCAGGAGTGCCCAGCAGCCCCCTGGCTCCTGCTTTAATGTGCAAGATGCAGGTGGCCCTTGTCCCTGACCCCGGCATTCCCAGCCAGGGATGCAGAGTCCAGCGTGGCAGCTGCTCCTGACAACAGGGAAACGTGCAACTGTTTGTGGGCCCTTGGCTTTGCTGCTTCCTGGGAGGAATTGTGCCACATGGAGCATAATTTATCTCCTGCTTTTCACACTTTACCCAAGCCCTACTCTTGTTCACGCAGTGTGAATGGCAGCAGTTCTGTGATGGAGAAAGAATGAGACATATCACCCCTCTGGGCCTTCTGTCTCCTCTGCCACATAAGAGGACAGATTTTTGTGGCTGAAGTTCTGGGTTTGTGTGTATATACATATAAGTACATGTTACTGAAGCAACTCTAAAGACAGCTCTCCTTCCAAAAAAGGGGGGAAGCTTCTACACAGGTGCTTTCTTTTTTACTGTATAATGTGAGTTGTTACATGTATATTTTTATATACACAGCTTAGATCTAAGTTTGGTTATTTTTAAATGTACTGGTTTTGAAATAAGCACAATAAAACCAATACTTCTTTTTGATACTGTGAAGGTGCAATAACACTAACATAGAATAGCAGAGACATGATGTGAAAACACAAATCATGCCAGTAGTTCCCAAAGCACTGGGGTGGTCATTTCCAAGAGCATCTGGGCATACAGCACCAACTGTTCTTTGTTGCCTCATTAAATAAAATAAAAACCAAAAAGAAGTGCAGTATACATAGTTGCTGTAACTAGAATTTGTTCTGGATGTTAAAACTGGGAGATGAGGACTCCACAGCAGCGTTTTCTGGGAGGTTCCTGGAAGGTCTGGTGTAAACATCACACCCTGGTCCCATAACCATCCAGAGGGGAGCTTCGAGACTCCCAGGATGTGAGACACTTCAGGAGTTCAACACGTTTGTGAAAATCATCAGGAGACAGTGCAGAACTGTAACCTCTGTAAACAGTGTCATTTTTATAAGGTCATGGAACTGTGGTGGAATATTTTACATCTTAGAGTTGAAGATAATTAGATTGCTGAGTCTGACAGAGATTACATGTGCTTGCTGGCACCACTATTAAGCTTTTGGGGTGCACTTCTTATGACATTGCCAGCAATGTCTGAAAAATCCCTACTTCTCCCACTAACATGGAGTAGGGCAAATGTCATAAAAGTGAACTGGTTTTGCTTTTACAGTACCCTCAAGTTAAATAAAAGCCTAAATGCAGTGTTATCTGGGATGCAATAAAATTGTATCTTGGCACGTGTAAATGATGATATATTTTGTTTCTGGCTTGGATTTGGAAAGGTTTATTGTACTCAATAATCATGGCAATCTATATCAAACTAACATATTTTACTAGCACATTTTCAGTACTCTCTATGTACTCAGATTATCTTTGGCTGTTTCAGGAAACAATACCTTAAAAGACCTCGAAAAAAAACCCGCTTGTTTCCTGCAAGTGAAACTGCAGCTCAGACTGGATCCTAAGCCAAGGATTTTTACTGGAGCCCAGGGGAAGGTTGTTTGCTCACTCTTGTTGAAATTCAGTGGGAGTTGGGTGCTGAGACACTAAGCATTGTTGCCCTCAGCTAAACATGACACTTCCGAATGCACTGTGCACCGTCCCAACAAAAAACCACATCTGTGCTTTGACAAGCAATCACATTTTCTTCCACATTAGTAAATGAATTTGGAACAGAATTAGCAGCACGCAGGAGAAAAATTGTGTTCTCATATTTGTTCTTGATTCCTGTTACTGCTTGGAACACATTGGTGTTTTCCAGGATAAAACTATATTTCGTGAGTAAGAATGCTGAAATAAGAGGAGCTTTTCATGCAAACAGTAGCTGAAAATTTAGATCCAGTGGAAGGTTTTCTTATTTTTTCCCAAAAGAATGGTACTCAGCATATATCCAGCAAGGAAAAAGGCAAAAATGCCAATTAGAATGAGGTTTAAAATAATCAAATTATTTATCAATAGTGGGTAATGGGGTCATATTAAGATCAGGAGCTTTTTTAATAAAGCAGAATGTTGAAACAATTTTAGAAGACATAAGCTTCCCTGATGTTATTTTGTATTAAAGGCTTCCCTGTTTCTGCAGTTCTTCATGGTGTTTCTCTTACCAACATTCAGTAATGGCACAGTACATTCCATGCACTAAAATTCCCTTTCAAGCTCAATGCTCTATGGAAGAGTAACTCCAAAAGAGACTAGAGCTTCTGGGTTTAAATTTAACACTATTTAAGGAAAGCAAACCTTTGCTAGGGGATATAACTGTTAACATTGTGATTTTTCAAGCCTAAGGTTTCTAATGGGGTTTGACTGTTCCAGAGATAACATTTTTTTTCCTAGGTAACATATTTCAACTCATATTATGAGCAAATGCTACAAAATTTTAGTGTAATGTGAAATACTGTAATGTCAGATAGCATTATTTATCTGCTTAATATGACTAAAACCATTAATTGCTGGGAGCCATACTTCATCCCAGCAACATGAAAATCCATTTTGTGCCTATCTTGTCAGTTATTGCCTATTTTCTTAATCAATTGTGACACAGGGAAATTCTGTTGGGAAGTGTGTTTATACATTTCCAACTGCAGGTTCTGTGTGGTAACTTATTACATAGATCCTCCATTAACTCAGTGTTTTCACTATGCCCCTGCTACAATACATCAAAGGTGCATTTTTCTTACTTAGATATCTGAAATAGCCATTATTATTGCCCATGCAGTTTTAATTATTGGAATTTATGAAATGAGCTAAGTGGCTGATGTTCATTGTCTTATAATTCCATTTAATGATTCAATCAGGTTGAATCTGTCTCCTATTCCAATAAAAGGTACTGTACATAACTCCCTGAAGGAAGGAGATCACAGCCCATCCTGCTCTCGTTACACAAGTACCTTACAAAAGTTGTATAATGTTTTGTTATTTGCTGTGCAGAAGCTGATCTTGATCCCAGTGAAGTTACCATGAACTCCTAGCTCTAAGGAGTGTAAGAACTACTCTAAGGCCTAGTCTAAGGTCTTGGCCACCCAAAGGCAAGCAGAAAAAGAGGGTGGTGGGACTGGAGGTCAGAAATAACCTTACAAGCATCAGATCCTGATCTTACTACCACTGAACATTAACATTTGGGAATTAGACTGATTCATGCTCCCATGAGATAGTTAGGGTGTTAGTCTAGTTCATGGAAGGCAGTGTGTAAAGCCTTTGTGGTCTGTTCAGGGAGCCTGAGGCATTTTATTGAGTCATGGTGGCATCACTCTTAGCAAATGCAGTGAGTTTTACAGAATGACAGAAGGATCTACAAAAAAAACCACATTTCATAGCTAAAAATTTTGTAAAACCTGACTTGGCCTATAGTCAAGCATCCACCACTTCTCTTTTCATCACTCCAATCCAGTGGGTGTTCCATCCACTATGTCCAGCAAGCAGCATATCAACCATATTCACTGATTTCAAAGGGAGACTTGAGGATATTTCCCACTGAAGTTTCAGGCACCAGGCTGATGTCCCTGAGTCTCAAGTGCTGTATAAATTATCCCAGTCATGGTGAATTTCAAAGCAACCTCAGAAGCACAAGTTAGCAGCTTTCCCCTAGTGTGAAACAGTGAACAAGGGGCACACGTGTGCACGTGACACAACAGGAGATTTCACACCTGCATTCTGCCTCTCCACAGGAAAAAGGAAAACAGCTCCAACAGATGGGAGCATTTCCACACTATGGCAGTGATAAGAATACAATTATCCTGGGTATGAATTACTATTCCTATTTATAAGAGATAGCCATCCTCAGCACAAGTGTTGGCTCTGAGGAAAGCAGAGGCTGTCAGGGTCATACTGCATGTTAGCTGTTTTCCCTGTGGAAGAATTTATTTCATAATCATAAAGGGTCCAAATATGGTCTGGTTGGCTAACTTTTGAAGTTTTGATCCTTTTAAGTGTCTCTTAGTTGGCCTCATTTGTAAAGTTGGCCACATTTGTGGTTTGAAACTACCACATACCTGAAATTCCAGAACAGCTGTATAGAACAAGTCATGGCATGATCCCAAATCTGAGTACTAATTAAGGGTGACATATACATTAGAAATGACAATGTTCCATCAAATCAACAAGAATTTGCATGGAGAGGCATAGGAAATATTTGCTTCATGTGGGAATAGCCTGACAGCCTTTAAAAAAGGACCAATGGGGGCACCAAAGATGAAAAATTAGTATAGCTTTTGAAAATATACCTTGAAATAATTATTGTACTTACTGAACTCTCAAGAGCCTCCTGTTCTCAGGGCTTCTCAGGACATACCTTCTGTTTGGATAAAAGTCAGTGAATTCAATGTTTCAGGAAGAAATAAAAGTGGGGATGAGTTTTTATCATTAGATCAACTGTAGGATAACACAGATGTAAAGAACAGAATATTGACAAGATGGCCAGGTCAGAGAAATCCCCCCAAATTACTCCCAGTGCCCCCCTCCAGCTTTAATATGGCTTTCACTGCATCACACAGGGCCTTGGTTGCTGGGACACAAAAGGAGGGAATGCTAGCTGAGAACCCATCAAATGCCAAGTGCAACAGATTTCAGATGGTTAAAACTTGCTGAAATCTTTACATGGTAACATGTAAATGGTGAGACATTAAGGGAACATCTTTTTTTAAAGGATGAATTCACAAGGAAATTCTACAGGCAGCAGGAATGAAGCAAAAGGAGTCCTGGAGAGATATCCTAGGTTACAACAAACCCAAAAACTCTTCAGTTCTGCTTTTAGCTTAGCAGATTTTGCATCAATTCCTTTGCCTTTTTAATTTATCCTTAAGTTTTAAACTCAGTTAATAGTACGGATGTAACTAGGAACAGTTTCATCAATTTCTGGGAACCCCCAAACCTCCCCAAATTGCTGATAACTTTTAATTGTTTTCTGCCAAAGAAATGAAGTTTTCACAGCTATTACATCTGCTCCAAACTGGATACAGCACAGTATAGTTAAACAAACATTAAAAAAAACTCTACAAATGTAAGTGACTAAAAAAGTATTATTCTATTATTCTCATATATACTTATAAATATATCTAACCTGAAACAGACTTATTTAGAGTTATACTGAGTTGGAATATTTAGTTTACTACAAAATAATTTAAAAGTTAGCTTTATACCAGAAAAAATATTTGTATACTGTAGGCTAGAGAGTACTGTTTTCATGGAGACAAAAAATGCAGTAATTTACACTTGAGTTTAGTCAAACTGGAAAATGTTTCCTGCATGCATCTTTCTCTAGGGTAGCAGCATGACCCATTCTTGAGCTAACAGTCAAACCCCATGGCTCTGTGCCAAGGCTGCCTACTCAGCTTCTTAATAAAAATGTTTATGTTAGATCAGCTCCATATGTGATGTGTGTTCTGGCTGTGGAGTTTGGGAACTTTAAATCATCACAAAACCATTACGAAATTATTTCAGTATAAAAAGGACCTTTCTAAAGCTTTGTTATCCACTTGCAGGAAGTTTACAGGACAATTCTGTAGACATCTGAATGGATGTGATCATTTATTTGTCCTCTTTTTTGCAAGGAAATCCATTTCCTGCACTTGTTACTCCAAAGATAAAAATGTAAACTTGCATACAAGATGTTAAAATAGGTCCTGTAGGATAAGAACTTGGGGATAAAGTAGGTTTTCTCCTGAATCAGACTGTATTTGTGGTCCAGCTTTGCAGTGTTTGCAGAGAATTTTCTAGGCATGTAACTGTGAAGTAAATAAATATTAGTTTAATAGTGGAAACCTGTGTCCAAAATGCAGGGACAAGTAGGGCCCTTCAGCTGTGGTTCAGAAGGTCTAATATGGGTGCATAAAGCAGACAGTGATGCAAACATCCCCCCTCTATATTCCTGCATCCCTTCATAACATACACAAACACAGCTGAAATGAAATAGGCAAGATGAAGAGCAATGAGAAACGACATGAAATACTGCCTTTAAAATCTACTTTATTCAACTGGAAACAAAACATTTTAAAAGGTGATAATGCTCTAAAAGCTATTTAACTCACCAGCCAAATCAAACTGACCAAAATCTAATTTATTCCTTGTCTTGTTTAGCAGATGCTTAAAAGATCAATATAGTTGTCTCTGTAGATCGACATGAAATATTAACCAGCCTGAGTGTTCTGAAGCTTTTTACAACATATTCAGCCTCATTAAACATTAAGCAGCCTTGAAATATAAATATAAAATAACTATCAGCTTCCTATCCTTCAGACACAGAACAAAGGTAACTCAAATGTGGGAAGCATGAGGAAAATATATTAAATGAACTGGGAATTCACAGAGAAGTTAACTTAGGAAAGCTGTCAGGATAAATTGGCTCAATCAGATACACTTTACCATAAGGAAAGAAAATATTGTAACATCAGAAGAGTATCTGCTACGGAACAGAGCAGTAATGTGGCATTTACAGCATGACAAATTAATAGAAATAAGCCTCTGACCACAGCTATACTAACCTGGGGCCCAGTCGTTGTTTATATCCAGCTCCTTTCACCCCTCGGATTTGCTGTCAGACCCCCTCCCCAGGTTCAGCGAGGAAGAAACCCTCTTTTCTCTGCCTTTCATTACTGCCTGGTATGTTAAAAATATCTGGGCAATACAGCAGAAAGGAGTTTCAGGTTCACTAAAGGGAAATGTCAGCTTTGCAAATCACTGAAAGTAACCGGACATAAACTGTCAAAATAAGTCAGCGAGACAGTGTGGTTATTGTCAGCACGTAACTCAAGCCTGCAATCCAAGCTGTGGCTAAAGGTTACAGACAGTACAGCAAGACAGTCCTACTAGGAGGGACAGATCAACTCATTTAGCTAAAAAATGCTGTTTAATTTTAATCTATGCAGTGTGTTTAATACCTGTTTCTCCTGTTTAGCTGCTTCCTTTGGTAATTGGTAGTGAATATCCTTCATGGATCGCCTTTACCACTGCTGAGTCTGCCAGGCTTTACAGAGTTGTTTCTTACTGCTGCCTCTTGTCCAGCACTGGTGTCAGAGCAGACACACCAGTGCTACAATTCCTTGCAGCCACCTTCTCTCAATTTGGCAAGAACTGAAACTGAGTGGGATTCATTCCCCTGCAGAGAGAAAAGATTTTGTAAACGTTACGTGGAGCTGTTAAGTTCAAATTCTCCTCTACAACGTGAAGGTAGGAATGCCATCAATTAGTCAGTGCAAAAACCACAAGGAGTTGAGAATGAAACCAAGAAACTAATTTGGTACACCAAGAGGCAATAAAATAAAATAAAATAAAATTTAATATAGGTATTTTTAAATTTTTGCAGCATAAGCAAGATAGCAGCAGGCTCACACAAAGAGTAAGTGTATCAGACACATTAAGAAGTGATATTCAAATAGCATTTGACATTGGGCTATTTTTGCTGCATTCTCAGAATAGAACTGGAAAGATACTTTTTCATTCCACTGCATTACACCATATTTTTATACTTTCCCTACCTGTATGCCATGCTGTTAACAAGCATTGGTTTGAACAGCATCAAATCAAATGTTTTACACTCACTTGCATTCTGAAATTGCAGATATGCTTTGTAGACAGGGTTATACTATCTCCAAACATGTATTTTAAAATGAAATTAAAAATTATGTGTAATGGGAAAAGATTACACACGCTGTGAGTGAATTCTTAAGTCAAAGGGACAAATCATAGCCAACTGTGACAGGCTTGTGGAGGCAAGCAAAGCCTCAGATCTCCTGTACCCTCTTCAGTTCTGCACCATCCCTCCCTGCTTTTGGTAAAACTAGGAGCAACCCCAGGTAAAAGTCAGCCCTGCACTACCAGAACCACACTCATCTCTTCCCTGTTATGCCTTTTTTTTTGGTGTTTGGTTTTTTTTGTTGTTGTTTTATTTTGTTTTTGTGGGGTTTTTTTTCTGCTTGGAGACTCTCAGAGCTGAGCTGCCTCCTCAGTTCCACTCAGCAGCGACACAAGGAGTCGCTCACATTTCTTACAGCCACGCTGGTGGAGCACAGTGAAGCTGTAACAAGGCACAGGGATGAGGCTGCACAACGCAGACAGAAATGCACAAAATCCTCACAGCAACTTCAGGAGCAGCGTGGTGCCTTGCTTGCTTCTTGAATCAGAGTGCTTTGCCTAAATTTCAGGTCCTGCAGGTTGTTTGGGAAGAAAGGTAATGTGACAGATGTGTCAAGCGTTTCTTTGATACCGTGGTACAATACATAGGAATCGAGCAAGGCAGTTTTCTTGCTGAGATTGTGACAGCTCTTTCTTCCAAAAATCCTCTTTTCTTAAGGGTGTGCTCATTTGTGTGTTATCCTTGTATCTCACTGAGCTGCTGGTGTGTAGGAAACGAGCCAAAGACCACAGTAGGAAGGTCACCTAAATGTTATGAAATTGGAATTGAGGCTTAGGGTAGAACAAGCAGACACAAAGATGGGAATGGATAGACAGCAATAGTACTGTGAAGGGAGAGGAATCTTCCCTGTCCCACTGCTCTCCAATTAAACCTGGAAATCAAGCACAGATGAAACCTGCTCCACTTTTTGTGCTTTGCTCCCCTCAAAAACCTGAGTAACGTCAAAACCAAAATGAATGCCAAATTTACTGCAAATGTTTGCTCAGACAAGCTCTAACTGTTTGCTTTCATCAAGAAAGCATTTGATTGCAATTCAATTGCAATTCCAGCAAGAAATCTGCACTTACACTTCTCTTCAACATCCATCCAAACCCAGTTTCTGGAATGCAGTCCTTGAAGTCTTGCAGGTTCATAGCTAAGCCTTTTAGCCAGGCAGTCCCTCATTACTTATAACTTTATTACTACAGTGTTTTTTCCCTGAATGCACAGCTCCAAGCAACACTGCAAAGCAGAGCAATGATTTGCTCCCTCCAGTCCATCCAATTCCATGGGACTCATCTTCACTTTTAAAAACCCTCATAGTCCCCAGTACTGCTGAAAGTTTTATTACTGGTGTTCACCTAAGTTGTTTTTTTAAAAGCCAAATAGAAACCAAAAAAATGTGCATATGCTCCCATGCTGCTCCTCATATTTCAGAGGGGTTTCTAAAGTTCTGCTGAGCTCCTAATGCTCTCCTCAACCACATCTTCAAAGAATATAACTGCCAACCAGCACATTAATTATATTTTCTCAATCAGCAGGACAAAGCAGAGAGGAAGAAATGAAGACCTAATGGAGCAATTGACACTGAAGAGGGTGGGGAGGAAGAAATTCCCTCAGACTCCCACCAGTCCCATCCAGGGTGTTGAACTCGGGCTGTGATTTCCTACCTTTGCCTCCACCCCTGTGCTTTCCTTTTTTCTTGTGCTGTAATTTCTTCAGCAATCTCTTCTGGTTCAGCACTGCTGCAGTGGTTAGGGCAGTGAATTTATGCCTCATGACTTGGATTCCTAAGAATTACAGTAATACAAGTAATAAAACAACCACGGTTTTATCTTTATTTGACTAAAATTCATACCTCAAGAGCACCAAACCATGAAGAAATAGCATACAAGGGAGAGAGAAAATAATCACACGGATCAGAATGGCACACCACAAATGCATCAGCCCTCAGCTTGTATTAATTGTATGGTTCTAAAAATGGTATTTTTCTCTCTCCCTTTCAGTGTACCTATGCTCATTTACATCCACGGGCACTGTTTAAAATAAATTTAAAATTAATTTGTCTGCAAACAGTCCTCCTAGAAAAAAAACAGCACTGAATGAAACAGCTCTGCACAGGATTTTTGCTGCTGTAGAGGAGATGTAATGCAGCAGCACATAGAAAGACAGATGAGGAAACAAATTATCAGCTGTTTGGCTCAAAGCAGTACAAAAATGTTAAACGTATATGCAAATTTCTCTCAGTGAAAATTATAAAGCCATCTTGGCACAGCTCTGGCTCTCCCTTGTCTCTAGAAAAACTGAAAATCTGTTTAAGATCAAGAAAAACACTGGCACACACATAGGTGTGGGCAGTGGGAAAGCCATCAAAACACGCCAGTAGGAAAGTGTGCTGGTTTTGACTGGGATAGAGAGATTTTTCTGTAATAGTTGGTGTAGGGCTGTGCTTTGGCTTTGTGCTGGAGCCAGAGTTGATAAGCCAGGGATGTTTTTGCTATTGCTGAGCAGAATTGCACAGAGCCAAGGCCTTTTGTGCCTCTCAGCCCACGAGAGAGGGACTGGGAGAGGCCAGGGCTGGCCCAGCTGAGCCCAGCCAGCCCAAGGGATGTCCCAGACCATGGGCCCCGTGCTCAGGACAGAGAGCTGGGGAGGAAGGAGGAAGAGGAGGATGTTGGGGGTGCTGGTGCTTGTCTCCCCAAGTCCCTGCTAGGTGGGATGGAGCCACCAGGCTGAGCCCCTGCCCGCCCATGGGAAGGGGGAATGAGCTCCTTGCTTTGCTTTGCCTGTGGGGATTGCTTTGGCTTTCCCTGTTGAAATGTCTTTGTCTCAATCCATGATTTCTCTCACTCTTCCAGCTCTCTCCCCCATCCCAATGTAGTGGGACTGGGTTATTTGGGGCTCAGTTTCTAACAGAACACCTGAACTCTTTTAGAACACCCTAATACAAATCTATGACCTACTCATAAGCCTTTGAATCTCCACTTGCTATAGGTCATTGAAAAAATGTGTTTCTGCAGCAGACCTTTCAATAAAATTAATTTTTTCCTTTCCTTTAGGAGTTAAATGACTATTAGACATTTATGTAACTGGGTGCAAGCACACACAGAACATAGATGAACTACCAGCTGCAAAGTCACTTGATCACTTATTTTCTTCAAATGTCTGATATCCTTCAGTAAGTTTGTTTTCAAAACATATTGTGCTAGATTTGCAAACAGGATGGAGAAAACTAATTAGAAATAACTATTGTTAAGAAATGTTAATGTGGAATGGAAGGCATTTAAAGAACAGTAACAGAGTTTAAAATATAAGTTCATTCCAGTAAATCAGTGTCAAAATGACAAGAGAAGCCAGCATAGCTCAGGACAGATATATGGAACAATATGTAAGACAAACAAAATTGCTTTTGAACCCATCCACAGAATATCAGAAGTGAAAGATTTGATCAAGTATTAAAAGAAAACGGCTAAACCAAATGAAACAAAAACAAAAGTGAATCAGACAGTCAAAATCTCTCAGCATGAGTTTTTTTCCTGGTTTGGGTTTTTGAATATTTTTTTCTATATTTGGTCAAACCCAAAGATTTAAGAATTCTCTTTCCAGAATGAGAGTGAAAAGCATCAAACTAAAATGAAATGACTACTTGGAGCATTTAAAGAATGAATTTGCCTTAATTTAACTATTCCAAGATGTAACTGTGTCTGATGCCTCCTACCTGAATACACCTAGAAGCAGCTTTTAAAGCTGTTTCTAACTTTTACTACTTTCTTGTATCAATGCAAGTTCTGCACTGACAGCCCACCCTGGGCAGGTGCTTTGGCTCACACTGAGGCAGGTTGAGCAGGCAGTCCTGATCACTGTGTGCATGAGCAGCCTCAGCTCTGCAGCAGCAGCACTGCAGGGGCAATTCCTACCCTTGCTGCCTGCAGGAATTGCACCAGGTCTTCATTCAGTGTGAGTGAAGGGGATGGCCTCTCTTCTCCCTGGCTGCCAGTATTGCTGCTGGGAGCAGTGTGTGCTCCCTGGCTAAGGTCCTTCAGAAGCTTTGGTGGAGCACGGGGCTGTCACTCCTTGCACACACTGTCCTTGCCCAGAGTGTCCCCAGCACATCACCTCTGGCTGACATGAGATGTGCAGATGGCACAGGTCTGCCCACCCCTCTTGATGGTGCTGTGCAGCAGGGTACTGGGGCAAAGTGGCTTTCCCAGCCCTGTCAGGCTCCTGACCCTGCCATAATGATCAAAACTGCAAAGGTGAAGCATTTCGTGGTGGCTGACCTTAGGTTAAAACCTATGATGGCTTTGCTTGCTTTTTCTAAATCAAAATAAACTAAAGGAGAAACAATTTAAAATTAGGGTGTTCTATAGGTCTTCCTTAATCTTTCCTACAAGGCTTCCCAAATCTTTGACTTTACATGTAAACCAGAGCTATAATCTGAAAGCTTCACTGCCACTTCAATCTGAGTTTTCTAACTTTGGTTAGACACCTAAGGATGCAAGCACGATAGGGGCACATCCTGATAGAAACAGTCAAAAGAACTCCCTGTTTCAGCCACTGTTAATGGCATCAATGCCAACTTCTTCCTCGTGCAGTGTGGTTTCCCTGTCAGCTCAGTGGCAGCCCCATGCAAGGGAGCAAGGTAGTGCCTTACACCCCTTTCTTCTCTTGCAAAAGGATGCACAGCTACTCACAGCTGAGCCCAAAGGAAGCCCACACACCAGACATCAGATATCCAAGAGACAAATAAAAGTGGGAACAGAAATTGAGAGAAGTCTTCACTGACACTTTACAAGTTCATGTAGTTCAAGAGAGATCCCTGAAGGCAGGAGACCATCATAATGCCATTAGTTAAGGGAAAGGTTGGGGAAACTGAAAATGTGTGTAGGGAAAGCTTAAAAATCATTTTAGAAAGCCAAGCGATGGAAACACTTTAAACAAGCACACTAGTGGTTCAATTAAGGGTTTCAGAGATGCCTGTAGGAGAAAATCTCAGAGGATATTACTGCTAGGATAGACAAAGGGACGCAATGGAAACCTGATGTGGAGATGTTCAGAACCATTTCCCCCAAGTCTTATATTGGAAGCTAGATGCATTAAAAAATTTAGAACAGCAAATTTATTCCAGAAATGTGGACAAAGTGCATTCAATAGGCTATTCAATCATATATCAGCACAAACAGAGGGGCTGAAGCTATAGTTTTACAAACAGAAAAAGCACTGAAAAACAAGGCAAAGGAAGCATTGGTTAATAAGGTAGGTAGATGTGAGAACAGATAATTTGGTTTTCAATAAATAATTTGGACATTTGTTAAAGAGAAGATGTAAGTCCTCTTAGGAAGAGCTCTGCTGGTTGATCTATCAATGCAAAATGAAGACAAAAAGGCAGAGAAAAAAGTCACAACTAAATCTGTTTTAAATTATTAATGAAGAATTGACCAACTACTTTCCAAAGCAAAGAATGCAGCTCAGTGTAAATCATATGATGCAATTAGTGCTTTTTTTACATAAAAACAATTTATTTTTAAAACAATGGCAGGTTTGTTTTCTTCTTTTGGGGGTGGTGGGGGATTGCTGCTGGTGGTGAAGGTGGTGCTGGAATTTAACACTAAAGCAGGCTACTGAATTAAAAAGATGAGCAAACTTTATCATTTGTCCCTTTCTTTTCCAAAACAAGGTTACATTTCCTTTAGAAGCACAAACTGTACACGGGTATTTTCCATCCACTGTTTAGTGTGCATTTTACAGCCCCAGTGTGAGCCCTACACTTAAGTGCTGACTTATTCAGCAGAGAAATCTAAGAGCTTCCTTCTCCTGCTCCACGTACTCCCACATCCATTCTCCATGGTCACAGCTGCATGGCCCCCATTTAAAAGTAGGTCTGCATCTGCTGTTGCCTTGTTCATAGGGAATGGGAGTTTTTCACTGGAACTACAAGCCTTTAGCTCTAGCCACAGCTTCGTGCTTTTAGCTTGGAGGAATCCAGTTAGATTTCCCATGTGTTGGACAAATATCAGAGGTCACACAGAGAGAGAATATGTGAGTATATTCAGAAAGAGTATAAAGGCTGAGATGGAGGGAAGAATCAAAAGAAGAATCAGCAACAGCTACTACCTACCACAATAAACAGTAAATCAAAACAAGCTACTTAGTGGGGATTAAAAATAGTGATGCAGAAACTAACTTTACCCTGTGTCCAGCAAGCTGAAATGGATACTTCAAGGTGTACTGCTCAGTTTTCTCAAAACAGTAAACATACAATAGCCTTTTCCCAAAAATTGGCTTCTAAATAACTCAAGAAGATCAGCATAGTTTGATTGATTTGCAACCATATCAGAGCAATGTAGCACAAAACAATCCCCACACCTTTTCTCCTCTGCCCCTTCCTTTCAGTGTCATGTTCCTAAATGGAGCCCATCAGCTTGCCTCGTGTTGGCAGATGTGGGAAGGATGAGGAGCAGCAGAGGATGCTGCTCTGCATATTCCCCTGGCTGGGATGGTTATCCAGCACTCTCCTCGGTCCTTGGCAGTGATGGCAGCCTGCAAAATAATGGCCTCAACAGCTTCGTAGGCCACTTGCTGTTATAATCTGTATAATAAGTATTAGTTTAGCTTTTCATATGGAAAGTTAATCCCCTAATAACATTTCAAATTACTGAACAGTGTTTGGAAAAAATCATACCTACTATTCAGAAACCTGTGCTGCAATCAGCTACATGAGATATACAGCATTCTGTAATTAGTGCACACCTTTCAGACTTGGCTAATTATCTCTTATGAATTAAAAATGTTCCCCCCTCCCCCACTTGAGAAGGGAGAAATACAGGAAGAAAGAAAAGATAAGTGCTATACTTCTAAGTTAGCTGAAAATTCAGTAAGATAATGTCAGTGATGTGGTTATTTCCAGGTGAGCATCAGGTTATTCAACCTAGGTGAATTTAATGACTGGACAGGTCATGTAATGAATTTTCCTATAAATCACTGATAATTGGAAATATAAAAATTAAAAACCAGTCTGAAGAGAGAGATAACACAATATAAATGATGGAAAGCAGCAATCTACAGATAGTGGTGCTGCTGTTTTAATTGAGGCCATTCTGATGAGAAGCTTCTGAACCTCATGGGGACAGCACTAGGAGGAGGAGCTCACGCTCTTTAACCTGCAAAAGCTTTTAAATTACACATGATTAACAAACTTGTTTTTAATATAGTGATATAAGAACTTTAGACTTCTCCTCTCTAACACAATGCTCTTCTGCAGGTCTCAGAAAGACCAAGCTCAACTTGGCTATCTGCACTTTCTCCCCAGTATCCATGAGCAGCTGGCTGTTACTGCTGTGCTGAGCTGTGGATTAGGATTAGTTTTGCTTGTGCTAGATTCCAAAATCAACATTTTGAATGACACATAGCATTTCAGGCTCCAAATTCTCTGGGTAGAGTCCACCTTTTTTATATCTTTGAGTGCTGGCCAGATCAACACCACCATGACCAAGCCATAAACAACCTGGATGTATCAGTGGGAGATTTGTTCCCCAGCTTGACAGCAGTGCTGAAGTCCCCAGTTCAGCCATGGAGAGAAGGAGCCCACCACCTCTGCCTGCCCTTGCCATGCTTTGGAGCACAAAGGCCTGTCTCATTTGTAGGTGTTTGCTAAAACAAAAAGGCTGGCACAACACCTCCAGCCCTGCCCTGCAACTCCACAGTGCTCCTGGAAGCTGGCACTGCACAACCCACGCAGGGCTGGGATAACAAACAGCAAAAGGGGCTCCAGACCAGTCACAAGGGCACTGCTATTGCTTAGAATAACAACTGAAAAATACAGCTATTCTCTTCCCACTGGAAATGGGAGTGTGATGGGGTCTGTTCTCCTCCCCTCACCTGCCAAGGGCCTGAGGCAAAGGCCTGTATGTGCAGCAAGAAGAGCCCACAAGTCCTCTCACCTGCTGTAAATGTTGCATCACCTTCCAGCAGGGAACCCAGCCTTCTTCATGGATATCATCTAATGAAGCAATCCTGCCCTTTTAAAAGTAACTCTGTTTTAATTTACCACCTCTTTAGAGTTTTTGAAAGGTTTTGATCCCTTTTATTTTAGACCAAAGTTTTTAGGAATGTTAGCTGCATCAAAAAGGAAACACTGAAAACCGCATTACAGATTTTCAGAATTAGAGATGACTTGAATTTCAATCTAGGAGCCAAACTCATCTGCTTTGTCCTGTAAAAGTTTGGAGCCAAGATTAAACCCAGGCTTTTTCTGGTCATAATTTAGATAAGACTGAACATTTCAAACATTATCCATTTTTATCAGATTTTGGCTCCAGATGAAAGAAACCTTGCAGGTACAATCATACAGCCAAATGACTAACTGCCACCCTTTGTGCCTGTTAATTATTTCTGGCCACAGTATTCTGTGCATAATGGAGCATGGACACAATATGATGGCTTTCCTTTCTCCTTTTTTTTTTCCCTCTTCCCCCTTATTTTTTACTCCACCTTTCCTATTTTTTTTTATTTTTTCATTTTTTTAATTTGGTTTCTAGATCAACATCTTAAAAATTTAATACTTGCTTTGTTGAAAGCAAAGGGATAATCAGCCTGGAACGTCCTGGGTTGTTTTGTATAGGTATTCAGTATTTGCTGTTCCCAATGACTTTTAGTTAGAAATGGGAGAGCGAACATAATTATGAAATCAAGCCCAAACTGCTTCAAAATTAATCACTTCAAAAATCCAGAAACCATTAAACAAACATAGACATGATGTTGGGGGTGGGGAGGGTAGGGAAGGAGTTTCATCCCTGGGAAAAAAAAACCCCACAAACTCCTTGTCCCAAGCCATTATATTTTATTTTATTTTTAACTTCTTCCTACTTGCCATGGGACAGAGGTATTGAAATCTTTCTATGGTATCACATTAATATAAAATCATTCTGCTTTTTTTCTCATGTGATAGTGTAGTCACGTTAGCACATTTCATTGTAAGTTAGTAAAAATGAACGTTAATATGACCTGATACTAATCCACCATGACAGAAAATTCCTAATACGATAAAACTTTCATATCATATTAGTAGAAAAAAGTCAGTTCCTGCCTGTTCCAGGTCACTTTCAATGCTGCCTTTGAGCATAAAGTAATGACAAGCATTTGTCTATCTACAAAAAGGGTCTCTAGCACTGTTCAATGGCAAAATAAAATTATATTCAAATGTGCCTGTTTCTTTTCTCTGTGTGATTCAGCCCATTGTGGAAGAGCCCTCAAATAGTTCAGCTAAATCCACCTTCATTTCTAGGCTTTAATTTTGAGATGTTCAGAGTGCCTTTTTTATTGAAGAACAATCTCTCTTTAAATGGTTGTTTCTGTATATTGAAATTATAACAGCTGCAAAGATAAATTATCAGTCCAGCTTGGCTCCTCTGCACATTTTCATGACCAGCCTTTGGCAGTAAACAGTCACCCATGGGCAGCGTGGTCAGGGAGCCCCTCAAAGCCAGGTAGACAAATACATATTTTTTTCCTGCAAGAACTCAGTGGAGGTGTGGATGAAGCAGAGCCAAGTCACAGCTGGCTCCAGAGCAGCTTTCCATGCGGCAGCTCCTGGAGGTTTTGCAGGGCCAACCTCCAAACCAGTTACACCAGCTGGTTTGAAAGCTGCCATCAGTTCTTCAACTTGCCTGTATTTTGTAGTCACAAAAGCTTAAGCTCTGATCCCCCATGTTTGTCATCTCTGGGATGCCTTTGCTTTGCTTGAACCGGGATTTAGTGAACAGTCATCCTTTCTGTAATACCAAAGTTGTAAATCTAATCTGAAATGCTTAAATAAGATGATAGATACCACCTAAATAAGATATCACATGTAAATAAGAAAGTGCTTCCCAGAACTTGGGCATTTCCCAGAAACTGATACAAGACTTGAAAGAAACACCACCAACTTATTACAAAGCTTTGCAAAATATCTGGTTGAACTGAGTCTAAATCGTAATTAAATTAATTTCCTTTGTCCCTGGCAACTCAAGTGAGAAGCACTTGGGTCATTCTGTCCCTTAATGTAAATTCAGGAGGTGCTCAATTTAAATCCACATCTCTGTGGCATTTCCAACAAGCTGAGGTCTGGTTTTCTTGCTGTAGTCACTTTTCCACTGGACTGTAAGAACAACTGTTTGACCTGCTAATTCCAAGAGCTGTGAATACCAATCTTCCTTGCATAGGTATCAATTCACAAGCTAAGGTTAGTGTTACAGGGAATTAAATTTTTCAACACAAATGTTTAATTTTATCAACTGAAATACATCCAAGTGACAACAACACCACAGCCTACTAGTTTTACTTTTCCTCCAGAAAATGAGAGAAACAAAGAGCTCAATTTAAACTGTAGTGGAACAGTATTGAAGACAGATCACACAGTGATCAGCTTAGTCTACAGAACATCACCCAAGTCAAACAGTGCAACACTTACTTCAATTTGTTCTTCAGCTCTGATTATTGGATACAATTCCATGTTGAAGATACTAAAAATTCCCCAAAAGTTTTGAATAACTTCACTGCTCAACCTTAGAAGGAAAAAGAGAAGAAAACTGAGGTTCTGATGGGGAACGGCCAGGTTACTATATGCAAAAAAAAGAGTAGTTTTCAGTTATATTATTGCCTGTGAAACATTACAAGTGCAAAATGTAATTACCTTAATGCTATTTTTGATATCATATCAGCAAATTGCACTGAGTCCCTACTGTGACACTTATATAAGGGTAAGAATTATCCTGTTGTGAGTGTCGATCCCAGGGGAAAATGAGGCAGCACAAATGGCTGTGATTCTTGAGCAATTAGCTGCTCCAAGGTTGCAGATACTCTTATTTAAAAGATACTCATGGAATGTTTAACCTGTAAACATCTTGAACATTTACCTCCTATTTGTTTTTTCAGTAATTAAGCCGCCAGGGGATCATCCTATGTAACAAGCATTCCTTCCTTATTTTGCCACCCATTTTCCCTTTTAATCATGAGAAAATCCCTTTCTGCTATTAAGATACACACCGTGAAATTTGGAATTGTTTGTAATAACTATGTCTTTCCATTAGTACTAATACCCTAATGCCACAGGAGAACCATGTAATGTGCTGAAGGATTATATAACTTCATGTCGAGCAAAACGAAATTACAAGTTTCAATCACCTTTGGGAGTCAGTTTTTCGGTTTTCAAAGTTCTGGAAGAATTATTGAGGGAAGAAAGAAATATTGATCATTGCAACTCATTTCAGATCTTAAGTTTTACTCTGGAGCCAGAAGCATTGGCCTGAAGGAGCCAAAAATACAGAGCATGGCCTTAGGCAAGGGCTAACTCAGCACGTTCTGTAGTTGGCATCAAAAGTGCTCACAGCTCTTCAAGGAAACTTGATCCACACAGCAAGAGGAAAGGGAGATAATATCAGTCAATGGTACCATTTCAGTATCAAACCATTCAGTAATCTCTATATCCTTACTTCAAATTTGAAGTCTATAAGCTAATATTCTGTAATCAAAATTCCGGATGAATGTAAACCTTGAAGCACAGGTAAAAGCCAGCCAGTCCTGTAACAGAAAGTAAAAAGATATTAAAATACACTTTATAATCAGAACTCTTTTCAACTCTAAGCACAAAAGGAAAAAATAACACATTCTCAGAAGAATCCAAAAATCTCTCTTTAAGGCACAAGCAATAACTTTTTGTAACACTAATTTTTAGAGAAAATACAACTTCATTAAAACATCAGCTTATAATTGTGCTCTTTATAATAAAAGATGCTTTAAAAAAAAAGCTTCTCTTGTTGCTTGGTATCTCCTTTCTACATATCATCTCATTATCTTCTAGTACACTATTCTGATATAAAATCTCTTTCTCCTTGTAAAAAAAAAAAAAAAAAAATCAGGTTAATGATTTATAAAACACCAGTTCAACATCTCTGAACTTCTAATTTAAGATAATTCTGATAACAGCCATTTTTTTTAAATTAAAAAAAAAATTAAAACTATTATGACACTTTCATTATTTTCATGTAGACTGAAACAAACTGAAAGTATGTGTTTTGGCAAATGTGGAAATTATTGATTTGTTAAATGCTTTACATGCCACATGCAAGGCTCACAATATTACCCACATACATACCAAGTGATTCTACCATCTTTTAAAATTATTTCCTTTCTTCACTTACTGTTACCATAAAACTAGACCTTTTTTTCTTTTTAGTAACTACTGATTTTGCTTATATAATGAACTTCTTAGCAAATGTTATGCTCTGTTTGAAAACAACAACAAAAGGATTTTCTTTACAGTAGCTAGAGGGCCTTGAAACACTCTGGCACATGCAATAAGATCTGCTCCACCTGTTGGGAATTTTAAATCCAGGCTTTGGGCTGTTGTTTTTAACTACTTTTGTGTCACTGCTTGTGTGAAGCCCACCATGGAAGGACAAGGCTGCCTTCCAAAACATAGGTGAATACTGTACATCCACAAAAAACTCCTTTGTTTTTTCTCCTGGCAGGACAAAGGTGTTGTTAAACGAAAAATATTTGAAAACAGCAGAAATACAAATCAATGCACAATTCTGACATCTGTTGAAACATTTCTGCATTCATTCCTACACTTGCTAATGGCATCAAACTCTCCTGGGCCCTATACAATACAATAAGCAGTTGTGAAGCAGAACAGATTTTTCTCAATACCAAGACCACCATGTAAACAGGTGGCTCTCACTGCACTATATTTTTCCACTCAGTATATTATAGGCTTCATATGAATTCTTTCATATGAATTCTGACGTCACCAGCAATAAAAATATAGGTTCAAATTCTCATTTTGTGATTGGTGGAGTTAACTTAGCCTACACTGGCAGAGGAAAAAGGATGATTAAGTGAAAAATTACTCATCATGATGCAATCCTTTGAAAGAGTGCAAACCTGCAAATATCAATAATATTGCCAATTACATTTAATGCACCAAGATCTGTGCAAGGCCAAGTTTAACATTCACTTGAGGAGAAAAGATAAGAAATGCTTGAGAATTATCCAAACATTAATAGTGTATTAATAAAAATATGGAAAATTATCAGAAATAGGCATGAGATGTGTACATCTTGCTGTTTCAATTTTCTGAAAATATCTGCAATGAAGACACAAGTCTTAATTTTATTAAATTAATAATAGATTAATTAGAAAGAAAGCAGATCCATTGCACATACATTTTATATATTGCCCAGATTGCCAGTACCTCTTTCCTTGTGTAGAACAAGGGGCAGCCACATGAGCCTGTTCTGGTCGCTAAGACAATGTTCCTCACATTTAATCTGTGCTAATGAGATTTGTGACAGGGAGATTCCAAATTCTTAAAATAAACTCACTAAAAACCCATTAAATTAAAATTCCATCATTCCAGAAACCTATAGAGCAAAAAGGATGCAGCAACAAACAGCTGGATTTTAACTGTCAAAATTTGAGAGGACCATTTTTCATTTCCTTAAAATTAGTGTTAAGTGGTACCTGGATTTTTTTCTGGTCTTGCTCTTGCTGTTTGGCATTTCCTTTCTATGTATCATCTCCTTATCTTCTGTCCCACACTTCTGATGTAAAAACTCTGTTTTCAGAAGAGACCAAAATTAAAATGGGAAAGTGCATTCAATGTGAATTGTATGTCTAAAAATCACCAATATAAATGCAACAAAGCAGTAGAAGGAAACAATGCCCACATGAGAACTGGTTTCATCTTGAATATTTGCTGTGAAAGAGGATATAGGTTAAAATGTATGGAGAAACAGGAGACCCACACATCCCCTCTTTGTTACTCAGCTCCCTCATTCTCATTTTCTTACCCCTGAAAATGATGAAGACATTATTTACAGTGATGCAGTCACTCCCCCAGATCAGCCAAACTTTCTCTTTGAAGAAAACAATATGATAAAATTAAAATATAAATAAAATGGAGGTTTCTTTTCCTTTTGGGAACTACATTATAAATCCAAGTGTAACCAAAATAATTAGTTGTAATGAACCTTGTGCACTAGGGGGACATTCAAATTAAAAATGGGACAAATCTTGTAAGAAACAGAATCCTTTTCAATATCTCATGATACCCCTTTTTATGATGCAGTCTACTTGAAAACAAGATCACTAAGTAATGCTTCTAAAAGCATCATTATAATTTCATCACTAAAATAGAGATTAAAAGAAAACAAAATGCTTTGCAGCAGTCTGCAATAGATCTAAAGTAAAACTGAAAATTACCCTGGATAAATAATGTCCATATTTGTCCATAGCACACATTCCTAACAAACATAGAGAAGAAAAAGCATTCATGCAAAATACTGAGATGACCTTAACAACAAATGTATAATAGACACAAAGAGAAAAAAAAAAGTCATATAAAACAACTGCAGTTGAGGGTAATTTAGAAAAGAGGAATATATTTCTATACAAAGCTGAGTATAAATATTTATCAGAGGCATAGATGGTCTAAAGATATTAAGAAAAATAATGAAAAATTACTATTTCATTGTCATATACTTCTTGCAAATACATGCTGGGATAATGCTTCAACTATAATAAAACTGCTCATTATCTGGAGATGCAGTAACAGGAGAACAAACATCATTTATATTGCTGAGAATCATTCTGGGGAGGCAGCAAAGGACTACAGGAACAGATTATTTTTTGATATTTGACGTTTATGCAGGTTGATTGAATTGGAATGATTAAATCATTTAATTAGAAACTGTACATGGAAGTTCTTTGCTAAAGAACAATGTGTATATTTGTTCAAATTCACCATACACTGGTAGTGGTACAAAATCGTTTTTGGGGGCAGAGGGAAAGGAAATCAGGAGAGGATAGTTGTGCTGCTCTGCAGCTGACCACAAGATATTTGATGTAGTCACATCAGCAGAATATTGTATGTGCTGCTCAGGATGTGCTGCTCTCCAGGGATCCTAAAGGGATTCCTTTAGGTAAAGGATTCCACAGGTAAACACTGTGAGCAGTAGCACCCACCTGTAAGCCACACTCCAGGTTGTTAATGGCACTCTAGTATTAAAACAATACCAGTCTAATTCCTCCAAAAGACAATGAGTGCCATTTCTGAAGTAACATGGATTTTTTATTTGAAATGGATTTTTTTATTTTTTTATGAAAATATGACTTAAAACAAAGATGTACATGTTAGTAGAAAACCTGCTTAATAACAGTTTCTGCCCTTTAAAGGTTTATAGAGGCTGTCTGTTATCCATAGTCATCTTACACTATGCTGGGAAAGTATTATTTTCTCTAAGTAATGAGGATAAGAGCAGCAATGGGAAGCAATTTTCTTGAGGAGGGTCTGAGCCGAAAGCTCAGGAATTCCTGGATGCCATCACTGCACTTCTCTCCATAATCTGCTGCTGCCTTTGCTGTAATAATCTCCCAGCAGTGTTTGTATTAATCATTTGGAAGCTGTAGCATCCAGAGCCCAGCCAGGCCTGCCACAGCAGTTAATGTGCGCACACAGTATCAACATCAAGAATATCTTACACAATAAAAGAGCTTTTTTTAATTAAAAAAAGCAACAAAGGGAGAGAAAAGGCAATAATGCAAAGTGCAAAATGAACGGTGCATGACAAGGCTGACTGACTGTTACTTCCATTCTGTGATAAAATAAACAGCAAAAAAAATTCTGGGGTTTACTACAGTAATATAAATTTACTTTAGGAAACTTTACTAATTTAAAGTTCTTCCCATTTTTCAATTTTTTTTTTCATATAATACAAAGTAATTTTAACTTTATTATATACAAAGTTATAGGATTAAAACCAGTTGCATATTCTGTTCTGTATCAAATAGAATTTTTCTTGTTTCCTGGCAGTGCCATTCTTTCTGCTTCAGAGGATTTCAGTAGAAAAACTTAGCTTTTATATTATTTTATATATATATATATATATATCTCCATATTAATTTGCAAGATTAGTGTTCATATTCTTTGCAATTTTTTTCAGATCTATCAGCACTATTTTCAGTCAGGATGTCATGGGGTAGTTTTACCTTTAAGACAGCTTGGAGGGAGAGGAAGTTGAAGCTGCTGGTGGCAGCACACAATATTTTGCTTTTGGACTCCCCACAAGTCCACTCTGAAAATTACAGCTAGATTGACACTGTGCAAGATGAGTTGGGCTGGTTTTGGTTGGGGCAGGGTTAAGTTTCTTCATAGGAACTGATGTGGGCTACATTTTGGATTTGTGCTGAAAACAGGGATGTTGTGCTTAATCAGTGCTGCTGAGCTGTGCTTGCTCAGAGCCAAGGTTTTTTCTTCTCTTCACCCCAGCAGTGAGGAGGCTGGGGGTGCACAAGGGCTTGGGAGGGACAGAGGCAGGACAGGTGACCCCAGCTGACCCAAGGGATGTCCCAGACCATCTGGTGTCATGCTCAGCATATAAATCTGGGGGCAGGAAAAGCTGGAATGTTTGGAGTGATGGACTCTTCCCAAGTAACGTTACGCGTGATGGGGATGGCTGAGCACCTGCCTGCAATGGGAAATGAGAAATTAATTCCTTGTTCCACTTTGTTTGGCTTATTAAATAGGCTTTATCACAATCCCTGAGTTTACTCACTGTTGTTCTTCTGCTTTTGTCCCCCATCTTACCTTGAGGGAATGAATGAGGAGCTGGCCTTGGGCCTGGTTTCTGGCTGGGCTTCACGTATAAAATTTTTTTATATTTGTATATAAAAGTATATTTTTAGATAATATACAAAAAATAGAAATATATACAAAGTATATATATATTTAATCTACATAATAGTAATATTATCTACTGTCAGCAGAACTACAGGTAGCATCTGAGGGCATTCACATGAGGAGAATGAAGCACTGTAAATATCCTCTATGATAGCATTTTAAAAAGGGAAAACTGCTAAATTACTTCATTCACTGAACACAAAATTAGGCATGGAAAGCTAATAGGAGCGTAGCAAATAACAGGTTAATTTTTCAGATTCTAATATTTTTCTGGCGGGCAAAAAAAACCCCAAAAACCCCAAACCAACCAAACAACCAACCAACAAACCCCAAACAATAAAAAAAAACTCCACACAACCAAACAAAAACCTTCCTACCTGGAAAAATCCCTTATTTCTGCATCAACAACTATGGGGAGCTGCCCAAAAATAAAGTCTGGGGTTTTGGGTCCTCGTAGATTTTCATATGCAACACACCAAGCTTGTGAGTGAGAAGAAAAATACTTCATCTAGGAGGTCTTGCTGCCATTATTTGCATGGACCTGAAATAAATCACATATAATATTAAGGCTACAGCCAGATCCAAGCACTCAAATCTAATCCAAAGCTCAGCTCTTGATTTCTCTATGTCACACACCTTGCTTGGCCAGAACCAGAGGAGGGAAAGGGCAGATAAAAAGCTCCAAGTCTGCCTCTGACACACACCCAGGACCAACTTCCTCAGCCATGTAGTCAGCCCAGAACTGACAGATACTCTGACCTGAGCTGAGCAGAGTTCACTGAGCACAATTCTGCCTGGCACTGTCCGTTGTCAGGCTTCATTCTGCTTTCACCCCTTTCTGGGACATTTAAGAGTTGCAGGGAATTCCCTTTGGCAACAGCTGGGGAGAAGTTCTTCCTCCCAACACCCTGAGGAACAAGGGCCAAATTGGCTGCGTTTCACAGCTGAAAAAAGAAACAGCCCTTGGAGCAGATGGCAGGCAGCAAAGAGTGGTGTTGGAAACAATCTTTCAAGGCAATTTAATCCAAAAATCACAATTCCATGCAGCTTTCAAGTGAGACCCCAGCTACCTGAAAAACCCTTAATGTCCTAGCAAAGAATTTTCTGACCTTTAAATAAATAAGCATGTAACATCTAGAATTATTAAAAGCAAAGGTATATCAATACAGATTAGCACCTGGTGCCACCAGCAAAGACACAACAGAAAGAGACAACCCCAGACCACCAATATATTTTCCCCTCAATGTGGGTATCAAAGGCAGCACCAGACTGATCTTCAGCAGCAATATGAAATTTGAAGCAAACTGTTCATTGAGATCTCTCTGAGAGAATACATTTTGCTGTAGGACTGGAAGTATCACGTCCTCCTCGCTGACCAGACTACAACATTCTGTGTCAAAGAGTAGATACAGTAACATAACCATAAAAATAGGTACTAAACTGATTCGTTTTGCACCGTGATAAATTAGCTTATTCTGAGATTAAAATGTCAGAGGAGAAACTAGTGGTAATCAAAGACTTTATTGCCCAGTTTTACTTAGCACAGCTCATGCTGCTATCTGTTAGACAGCATCATCATCAGGGTGCCCCCTTGCCCATTCTGCCAATTAAAATAACATGAAAAGTAGAACATCAAAAAGATTATGTTTCCTTTAAGCTGACCTTTAAAACTGAAGTTTACAATGCCCTGGTAAGAACTTAACATCTTCATTTACATAATTTTCTTCTAAATTACAAGTCATGTTTTATCAGAACAGAGTAAGCCAGAGGACACGAGCAAGCTGTGAGCCAGCAGCAAAACATACAAAGCCCAACGGGCCTAAAAGTTCTCACGGACAGGTTATACAATACAGGAAAAGAGGAAAAAATAAAAACTCATCTGCTATTGAATTACACGTGCCCCTCTTACCCTTGGGGATTGCCAATCATCTTCTGCTCTTTCCCAACACTTTAAACAACTACCCAAATAAGAAGGAAAATAAAACCTAACAAGTGCTGAATTCCTAGGATTGTTCATAATCATCTGGAATGATACGGCAGAACAACTTCTTGAATTAAGAGAGGTTGTTTCCTTCACTTGCTGCATGGAAGAACATATGAACTGAAAGTTGTTGAGTCCACTCCTAGCCCCAGCAGCATCACAGAAAATTAACATCAATCCAGAAGGAACAGAACGATGACAACTGGATTCAAAGTGCTCTGGCTGGAGGAAAGTTTCCCTCAGCATGTGTTAACACCCAGCATCCATCAAATATATTATTGTTCCTTGACAAATGTGTGAAAATACAGAGTGAGGCCCCAGAATAGTCCAAATCTGGAAAGTACCTCATGCATTAAAACAAGTTGGTAGACTTGGTTGAAAGGGAAGTAGTTAAAGACCTGTATGTGAGCATCAAGACGTATTTTCAAGGCCAGATGCTAGACTTCAGTAACTTAATATCACATCTCTGAGGGAAAACCCTTTTATAATCCTTAGGCAGAAAATACATGGCTACTGTCATATCCTCTGTGGGGCTGATTATTCTTATTTAGAACACCTTTGCACAAAAACAAAATAGAAGTAAGAATATGCTTGGCACCTCTCCCAGAACACATTACATGTGCTATGAAAAAAGATTTTTACTCCATATGAACTAGCCGATGATAAAAAGAATAGACACAGCTATTACAATTTTTACATGCTTGATTCCTGAAGCAGACAAGGTCCTGCTATCACATCATACATGCTTGATGAAAGGTATATTCATCTGTACTCTTAGCCAAGAAAGAGGTAGGTTTGCTGAGCAAATCTGAGTCAGATGCTCTAGAGCAAGCTCTGCAAATCAGGTTTCAACACTATGCCTTAATTAAATCTGCATGTGAAACTCCAGCTCTTTGTTGGACAGCCTTTTATCAACTTAGACACAAAAACTCAAAGGAGATAGAAAAAAAAAGAAAACGTTTAGACTTAATCCTCCATTTCCTTTTAAACATAATGATTCACTGCAAGAGTTTAATATTAAAAAAACCCTCAAACTTTTCTACTATTCCCACAGGCTAGAGCGCTCCCCAGGGTATTATTAAATCATTTCTCTGAAACCACTGCACCCCTGTTAAGTGTTAGGCTCTCACACCTTGACTAACTGCAGGCAGGAAGCAGCAGGTGACATTTCATGTCCATGCTGGCTTCTGCCAGCCAAAAACACTGGAGCAGCCACAGATATCCCTGCAAGAGCTGTCCTTCAGCATGGGAAAACCAGCAAAAGGCACAGTTCAGCACCCAGCCAGCCTTCCAAGGATTATTGAGGTGGCATCTCCAAAATCCTCAAGCTCTTCTGGCAAACGGCTATCAGTGGCAATCAAAGTCATTTACATTACAAAGCTGCTCTCAAGGGATTCCTGAAATCCTCCTGATTTCACTTATTTAATTTGGTAAGCAGATTGTGTTGCTGCAAAGTAGATTTGCAGATATCCGGATGAACTGTCACTGTGTGCAAAACATGATACTGAATGTAGGCTCACAGAACAAGTGGATTTTTGTAGCTGGACTGGTGCTGTCAAAGAGATGTACAAAGGAAAAAAATCGCTGCAAAATTTTGATCTCCCTGTTACGATGGGCAGAGCTGCAGAGCACCAAATCCTTGAGCATCTGTGTACTTCATCTGTGCCAGTGCCATAGCCCTGATTTCGAGAGGCACTTCAGTAAGGGGAAAAAAGAAAATCACATTGTATATTAATATTTACGCCTACTTATTAGGTACTTGCTTCATTTGCACAGCTATCCTGTTGGATAAAATCCCCACTGCAGATACAATCACATCTGAAGATATTTAAGAAATAAAAACACTTAGCTGGTCCACTGCATTAGATCTTTCCTGCAGTCAGTCTAAACTCATCCAGAATTGCAAAGCACATTTATCAGCCCTCTGAGTGCTCCTGTGAAAGCTTTCCATGTAAAAATGTCATTTGCCTTTTGTGATGACAGCTATAAATGTGAACTACGAGTCTGAACAGGAAGCAGCATTGATAGCACGGCCAGACCTCCTCCTCTCCTGTCACCAGCCAGCAAAAATGTGAACAGCATTACTGGAGAGGACTGCTCTGTAAAAAGGGTTTGGAAGGCAAGAAGTCATCTCTCAGCTTTCAGCACAGAGGATGCAACTTGCAGTAGCCCTGCCTCTGACTCATTCTACCCAGCAGTAGATCCAGCAGACCTGGCTGGCACAGATGGAGAAACATGAAATACATTTTAAAAACACTAGGAAACAGTTTACTGCGGAAAGGTAGGAATATGCCACAACAGAGACAGTACTTGTCAGCCGTGGCCTCACAAAGGCAGGCTTTGACATTCTCTCAAGCACAGTGCTCCTCCACAGCTCTGCACAGAAGATGAGAGAACTGAGGAAATCACTTATTTAGCCTCTAACTCAGAGAAGAGTAATCCACTCTACTCACCTTATGAAATCCAAGATAAGAAAATTTCACTCACAAACACAAAGGTGCACAAAAGGTACAGTATCAATTCTGTTTTGAAAAGGTAAATAGAAGAACATGACAAATTAATAATGAAGTACTCTAAAGGTGTGTGATGGGATTTCATGCCTTTTTTAATAAAATAAGATATACTTACGGGTTCTTATTATACAGCCAAGATGAATTTTGAAAGCAAGCAGCATACCTGGCCAACACAAGTAACAAGGCTTTCCCCCTTCAGGACAATCTACTTATTTTATAACATTATTTTATTTAGTCTTCTTACTTCTTGAGCCTCTTTCCATCACTCCCCTTAGATCATAGAGCATTTGTAGTTTTGAAGAATGCAGAAACATTTCCTAGGTGAGGAAGGCCAGTGTGAAGACAATAATTTTTATCCCTTATGCTTACAATGGCCATCTGACTGTGGTGATTTTGACCAGCCTCCCTGCAATAATAAGAGGTAGTGTGTAGGTAATAATAAGAGGGTAGTGTGTAGTTCTCTGCTGTTTAACCACAATGTGCAAGCAGTTCAACCAGGTATGGAGAAGGTTTGCAGCCTAAACTTAAAACATTATCAAAAATGAGATCCCATCAGTGGCAAACTCAACAGCAAGGGCTGAGTAGCCTCACCTCACCCGTCTGTGCCACACAGGAGTGGGGTCACTCAGCTGTCCTGTGCCAACCTGCCAAACCTGCAGCCACTGACAGGGACACCACTGGCACAACCACATCGAATCTTCCCACATGCCAACACCTTCTTTCTTCTGTATAGATTATTCACGAAAAGTGTGCCACAAAAGCTTTTTTTCCAAGAATGTGAAGCACCTGCAATCATAACTGGAGTTACAGTCTGTGCTGGCTGTGCCAGGGCACCACGTAGCCCTCACCTTCAAAGGTGAAGTAAACATCTTGAGGAAGAAGAAAGAGCTTTGAGGATTGTGTCTTACAAGCATTAATATAATGCTCACATCAGCAGCACTGTGGCTTTTTAATTTAAAGCATGTATTCCTTCGAGAATTACCATTATCTCATTTTTTTGCACTCTACCTATTACACAATTCTTTTTGGAGATCTTAACGTGAC